TGTTGCTGTAGGAGTCAGAATCACTTTGTAGGAATTTAACAAAACAACAAGACTGACTTACTGACTGACTAACTAACTAGATGGCTTACCGAACCCGAAGGTTCATCACCGAATTAACCAAAGCCCTCCACCGGTCCCTGTTCTGGGTCAGCAAAGTCCAATCGCCTTCATCTCCTATCTCCCATAGATCCCGAATGATATTATCCTCCCATCTACGTCTAGGTCCCACCCCCCCAAATTGAAGGACCATCTCTCATACAATGAGTAACAACGAAATTTATGCTGTTCACCGAGGTTTGCCAGTGTGATTAAATAAAGGATTATGGGATGATGCTGTGTGTAGCACAAATAGAAGAATTTAGAAATTTACTAAATTTTTTTATTTAAAAGCACGAAAGAGAAACCACTTGGGATAAACAGGCGGGAGTGTAGCGAATGTTAAATTAGACGTTAGTGATGAGGTTTGGAGCGGGTCATGTGACCGAGTATTGAGTCAATTAGTGGGCTTTTGTGAACATGCTACACACGCTGTGGGTTCTACAGCAACAGGATATATATCGATCAGCTAAGTAAATATAGAATTTTTAAAGACGAAAGCGCATCAAGGCTTTAAAATTGTGAGAGTTTTACGTATCGAACGTGTTCGACCTGCTATATTCTCGTAAATAGATTCTCGAATTGTGTCCAATCCTATCCATCAGGTAAGCTGCAGAATTTTATAGTTGATACTTAATTGCGTTTGGTACTATGTCGACTCTGAATTGACATATCTCTTTGCAATCTGACAAGCGGATAGATTGACATTTACGTTCTTCTGATAACACAAGTAATAACTGAAGGTGGCCATACTTATGGTAACCACGGAAATAGGCTGACTCCATTACGTCAAAAGTGCCTTTGAGATGTACCATGCAGCTTCATCTAAATGAGCAAAATGTATTTCTGAAAGTCCTCACACAGAGTGTGTTTATAAATCTAAAGACTCAAGATCTTAGTCGCACGCCCATATAAAGCCGCTCAAAGAACATTGAAAGAAATCCAACTCTTTTAAAAACGTATTTCATCTAAATCTATTTAAATATTCATTTCCTACAGCAAAAGAAATCACAATGCGTGTCCGTAACAGAGATCATTAAGTTAATGCTGTTAAGGAAAATAATCATTGCTGTTTGTGCTGAGAATCATACGGACCCCATGAATAAACTCTGGACAAAATACAGAGTTATTGAATGTTGAAGTAGGTGGTGCATAGAGTTAACCATGTGCCAGATTTTGGAAGGTTTTTTTTATCATCATTATATTATGAGGTTGGCGGATCATGATTGAGGAACGGAAACCGCTGCCATGTGGTGTCAAGAGTTTGTCGTTATGAATGGGTACTCGTTAGCACCGTCAGAATATAAGCATATACGTAGGAATTAAACGTGTTTTTAATGTGCGGTACTTTAAAGTACAGCGGGGAAGTAAAGTGTTGGAACTTAACGTCGCATTAAGTTCCAATTCGAAATGGTTTAAAGGAAGGAAGGAAGGAAGGAAGGAAATATAGAAAAAAATTCCCTGGTTTTGCAATCACTTTTGGTTCTGATGGAACAGCAAGCTGGATAACATCACACAGTAAGCTTTATAATTCGTATTTAAGTTGAGGAAATCCAGAATAAGACTTGTTGAATGTACTGTATGTGATCCATATGAGAAATACATAATGCATACAACATATTGGTCGGGAAGTCTCAAACGAACACACCATGAACTTAGGCGTAGATAGGGAGAGTAATGGAACTAACAGAAGTAGGATATGAAGGGGTGGATTGGATTAAACTGGCTGTGGATATAATACAATGGTGGGCTTTTGAAGAAGTGGTGATGAGATGTCTGATTACAGAGTGTGTTGGCGAATTGAATAATTGTTAATTTGGAGAATGCCCTTGAACATGCATTTATGGTTTGCATTATCAACAGATCGATTATACAGCTTACTCCTTTGTCATGGGCTATTGTATAATTTAAGGTTCGAGAAACTAAATATCTTGATATTTACAGATTCCCACCTATTAATAAGATAATGGCTACAGGTAAAGTAAAACAAGGGAGCAAAGAAGCCGAACTAAGATTATCATTGACGTTCTTATATACATAAAATTAAAAATGTAGGGCACAAGAATGTTTGTTGTATTTCTTACCATGTATTACAGTTACTGCTTTTCATAAATTACATGCATATGCTCTTTTCTACAACGCACAAATTTTATTCTAAAATGGCTTGCAATCTAGGCAGTGTCCTTCATCTCATTCTCATTGGGGGGGGAGGGGGGGGAGGGTGTTTGAACAAACATCTGATCCTTCAGAACCTAAGAATGAGTCACTCTGCGAGTAAATTCTTTTTACTTTTCCATGCTATGCGCGACATATACAGTTTGTAAATATTAGTAATGTTGGCCACAGGTTATGTACCATTTAAGAGACTGAGCGATAAGAAACCTCTTATGACGCCTCTTAAAAATTGAAACTATTTGCAACTTTTTAAAATGATACATTGGTGAAATTGTATTAACAGAAGAATGGTCCTTTTTTATATTTGTTTGCTAGTTTCTCCCTGCCACAGGGGAAATTTCAGTCGCCACGTGCAATTTACGTACGGTAAGTTGATTATCAACTTGGAATTCAGTTTTGTAATTTGCGAATGGGCGTGTTCATAAAAACACCACATCGTTTATTTAAGTATCAGTGTGGGTTCCCATTGACGTTAATAAATGATTTGTATTTGCGTGGAATTTAAACCTGAATTTTTTTACTTGATCGTTATTACATCCTTTTCCAGTAGGTTTATAATTTAGAATCATTCAGGTACTCTTAAAGCTTTCATTGTCTGACCGCCATCCATCCACTTATTTCTGTACTTGACAGTCATTTGTTATTTGTATTAAAGCTTTCGACTGTCTAATTCATAACCTCTTTTATTTCTCTCATGTCCTGCCGCACTTCCGTAGAAAATTTTTTCATAGAGTACACGTTTGTCTTTTTACGATCCATTAAACAAGTTTAATAACTTTCTTGGAGTAAACTTAGACAGATGCGACCTTATAAAATGTTAATGCTTACTTTCGTATCTTTCTCTGTCTTCGAGTTTTTATAAGGCTTGGTTTAACGACTCACTCTCGACTGTATGCGGTACTAGTCAAATGGTGGTGTGACCACGAGTAATTAATTGAGAATTATTTGGAAGGAAGCGGTCTCAGTATTCAGATGATGGGACTGAGTAAACCTTGAAAAGCCAGTGCGGATAATCTGCCCAGTGTATCATATTCAAACCTGGGTCCCCAGAATTCAAAGCAGGAGCGCTTATCACTTAACTGCGAAGTTTAGTTAAGAACTTCAAAAACAGAGACGTAAAATGGCCCGGTCGCGATAATGAAGACCGGTCATACGTAAATTCATCGTGTTTGAGAAACAAGTACTAACTCCCAATAATAAAAATACTTTAGCTGTTAGCTTCAGTTAAGGTCTGGAAGTGCATTTTGTGATATTTTAACACAGTTGGCTCATTCTCGCCTTGAAGTCAGTAATGGGTAATAGCTGCAGTTGCGTTAGGTCCAGAGTTGTTGAAATTCTCGGAGTGAAAAAATTTCCGCTGTGCTAGTCAAAGTGATGTCTTACTACCCGTTCGGGCAGTTAGTACACTGTTTTACAGTAACTCAGAAATCCAATTTAATTTCTGACTGAAAGACGTGATGTCACGTAGCCCGTACTTGAGGCAGTAAAGCTTACGGCCACGAGCTGGACTGGTGTTCTGTCCCGGCACGGAATTTAGTGGTAATTAAGAGAAGTCGGTTTTTGGTAAGATGTGAGGCTTTTCCGGAACCATGTTATTGGAGGCAGAAAGCTCATCTGAAGTGTCGGCCAGTATCTACCATACTACACGGTGAAACATTCCAGAAGTCTGCCATCTTCAAGTCAGTATTTGTTTCTATCTGCATTAATTTTCATGTCTGTTAAGAGATTAACATTGTTTATATAGTTAACATAACCGAACGTTGAGTTTGAGAAGTTAACAATCCTGCTTTATATCCGGGAGTCCCTGGGTTAAAATTTTGGCCTGGAGGTCTGCTTTAATGGTCCAGGTTTATCGTGGTTTTCGGTTAATTGAAAAGAAGTTAAATGCAATATTTACTCGAATTACTTGTACGTAATATCGAAAAATGTTTTAAAAAGACATATTTTTAAGATCGAATGTCTACTTTTGTTATATGATGGTCAGCTTTTGAGAAACAATAAATAAATGTTCGTTTAATCCTCACAAAACAGTTTGTTTATTTTACAGTTTAGTCATCTGGACTACTGAAATTCAGAGTAATGCATGCTGTTGATATAGCGTCGTTGAATTACATAGAATTGTCACAGTCATGTAAACGTCACCGTTTCTTACATTAGAAATAACATTTTTTCAATTATTATGGCGTCTTTAAATAAGCTATAATTCGAAGAGCTTTCTGGAAACACTTGTACTGAGGAAGAGATTTTGTACAACACGTGTAGTTTGAATATAAACTCACCCTACGTCTTTATTTAGCCTGAGTATATGACGGATTAGTTATTTGATTGAATGGCTAACAAATTAAGTCACTAATGGCACTGCTAAATAATTATGAAACGGTACTTGTAACTAGCCAAACAACTTTGGCTTGAATATGGAGACAAGACATCCTAAACTTTGACAATGCAGCCAACATAAACACGGTGCCATCGCCCAGAAACAGGGTGCGTATTAGGTTTTCACT